CTCGTGTCTTTATCAGAAAAGTAAGAGGCTCACATCTGTGATCCCAGCACTTTGGGAAGCAGAGGTGGGAGGGTTGAGAGCTAGTCTGAGACCAGCCTGGGCAGCAAAGCAATACCCTGTCTCTACAAAAGATTACACATTAGCCAGGCACGGTGGTGCACATCTGTAGTCTCAGCGACCCGGGAAGCTGAGGCAGGAAGATTGCTTGACCCCAGGAGGTGGAGGCTGCAGTGAGCAACGATCACGTGACTTCACTCCAGCCTGGGTGACAGCGTGAGAACCTGTCAAAAAAACAAAAAAGCAACAGGAGGAGGAGAGACCAGAGCCCTCTCCCCTTGCCACGTGAGGACACGAGGAGAAGGCAGCCGTCTGTGTGCCCGGGAAAGGGCCCTCACCAGACACAGGATCAGCCAGCACCTTCATCTCAGAATTTCGTGCCTCCAAACTGAAAAACGCCTACAGCTGAAGGCGCCTAGTCTGTGGCGTGTTGTTACGGGGGCCTGAGCCGACTATGCCACGGGGAGTCACTCAGCCTCTTCTGAAATGTCTGGGGATCTGCTCCATCCTTGGTAACACGGTGTGGCCTCAGCAGGCAGGACCCTGGAGTGGATTCTTAACCGTCACAGGCACCCTTTACTGCATGCTGCCCACGGGCCAGGCGGTCGGCGACGGATACTACTTTCATCACAATATTTAACACAGTACTGGAAGTTCTAGCCTGAGCAATTAGGCAAGTGATGCTGCCCCGCGGTATCCATCAACAGAGACGGAAGCTTAACGACCCCGTTTTACAGCTGGAAGAACAGAGGCCCGGAGAGGTTAAGTGACCTGTATGAGACCGCGCCACGGTGGCCACGCTGGGACCTCAACCCGAGTCCGTCTGGTCCTGCAGGGACCGGCACGACCACCTCACAGTCCTGCAGGAACACGGAGGCACCCCTCGAAGTACAGACGCGTCCCTCCCATCCGGGCCTGAGCCCCAGCACTGCGTGGCGTCTGTGTGGGGACAGTCCTCACCGGCAAGTCCAGGACCACCTGCTGCTCAGGGTGGACCAAGCGACCTCTCGCCCCGGCCCCCGGCAGTCTGGGGCTCTTTCCTTCCCAGAACCCTCGTTCACCCCAATTCCTCCCCATCTGCTGAGAATACACTGAAGAGGCCGACGCTCTGTCTTAGCAGATGGCCTCAGTCCGTACGTGGCCTTGTCCCCAACCTCGTCATCTCCCGGTGACGGCCATCCCCACCTAACTTGACCGTAGGGTCATCTCTTAAAAACACAGATCACATCACACCCCTGCTTCGGACACTCCGCTGGCGTCCCACTAAACTCAGGTGAAATCTCAGCTCCTGACCTTGACCGGCGAGGCTCCGTGCGATGGGCCATCCCGCCGCTCACACTCCCTGCCCCAGACGCCACCATCTGCCCCTTGAACATGCCCAGCTGGTTCCTGCCTCAGGGTCTTCGGGACTCATCCAGGGGAAGCCTGCCGTTCCCTCCGCCGGGACGGTTCCACCCAGATCTTCCCAGGGCCAGCTCCTGCTTGTTTGGTCCTGAGCCCGGAGAGACCCCGAGGCCGCACACTAGGAGCTCCGCATTAATTCAGTGGCGTCCTCGGGTACCTAGTGCTGCTCCATGTTTATTCCTTTGTCTTCTCCATGCCCCGACCCCTGGAAAGTCATCTCCACCACAGGGTGGACTTTGTCTCGTTCATGGCGTTGCCAGCACCCGGAGCAGGGCTTGCACACGATGGGCTATTGTTTAAAGAATGAGTGACTACGAATGAACGAACGACACCACCTTCTCCGAGAAGTTAGAGTGACCCTCCAAAGCCCCCAAATGCCCACCATCCAGCGGTGTTCCCCTCACACCCTCTCCTCCCACCTCAATCCTGGAACAAGCCCCTCAGAAGCTCAAAGGCTCCCCCACCTCATGGCAGGACCCGTAGTCCCACCTCCGCTGGCCTTCGGCTGCTGAACACCAAGAACCATTTGCAACGGAAACGCCCAGACCAGCCCAGAGCTCCAGGACAGCATGGGGGCCACCTCCAGCTGAGGCCCCTCCCCGGGATGGCCACTGCTGCCTAAGACATGGCTCCAAGGGGCAGCTGGATTAACCGTGAACAGCCAGACCAGCAGCAGCCTCTGTGGGCACAGGCCCCGGACGGTCGCAGGGAAAGCAGGCCGGGCTTCCTGGACCTCCATATCTGGACTATCTACCACAGGCCAGGCTTCCTGGACCTCTGTATCTGGACTATCTACCGCAGGCCGGGCTCCAGCCCCTCCACAGTCCCCTGTAGCTGGAATATTCACAGCAGCTGTGGGGTTGAGAGACAGAGGAGGAAACAGACTGCCAGGTCCCGTTCTGCCAGGCAGGAGTCACTGCCCGAGTCCTGGAAGTCGGCCATTCCCAAGCCTCTGTGTCCCACCTCCACTGACCTGTATCCCCGTCCCCCCTCCACTGACCTGTATCCCCGTCCCCCCTCCACTGAGCCTGTATCCCGTCCCCCTCCACACCCCGAGCCTGTATCCCGTCCCCCTCCACCCAGCCTGTCCCATCCCCCCTCCCACTGACCTGTATCCCGTCCCACCTCCACTGGCCCTGTATCCCGTCCCACCTCCTCACCTGTAATCCCCATCCCCCTCCATGGCCTGTATCCCTGTCCCCACCTCCTACTGACCTGTATCCCGATCCCCCCTCCCTCACCTGTAATCCCCGTCCATCCCTCACCTGTATCCCCGTCCCCTCCACTCACCTGTAATCCCGTCCCACCTCCACTCACCTGCTCCCGTCCCCCTCCACTCACCTGTATCCCGTCCCCCTCCACTCCTGTAATCCCCGTCCCCCTCCACTCCTGTATCCCGTCCCACCTCCACTCCACCTGTATCCCTGTCCCCCTCCCACTGCTCCTGTATCCCGTCCCCCCCTCCCACTGACCTGTATCCCCGTCCCCCTCCACTGGCCCACTGTCCCGTCCCCCCTCCACCCAGCCTGTATCCCCGTCCCCCTCCACTGACCCGTAGTCCCGTCCCCCTCCACTGGCCTGCCTCCCGTCCCCCTCCACAGCCTGCATCCCAATCCCCCTCCACTGACCCGTGAGTCCCGTCCCCCTCCACTGGCCTGTATCCCGTCCCCCTCCACTCACCTGTATCCCGTCCCCCTCCACCCAGCCTGTAGTCCAGGCCCTTCGCAGGGCTGAGAAGGAGCCAGCAAAGCCTGACACCTACGTCCCCATCATCCCTCCAGTATTCTTGGACCAGTTAATCCACATTCCTCAGCCCAGTTTACCACATATGACAGAACAGGAAAAAGATTGACCACAGCTGCTGATCCTGGCTTCCCTACTTATTGCAGACAGATTAACCTCACTGCACCCTCGGTTTTCTCATCCCGCTTTTGGGTGCTCCTGAAAATGCCACTCAGGTTGCCAGCAGCCCCTCCGCGATCCACGTCCATGTTCATTTATTTTTGACTTCTCATCTTTCCGGTCCTCTCAGCACTTCCCACCCCACGCCATCCTCCATCCTCCATCTTCTGAACTCTGTTATTTCTTCCCAGGATTTATTATTTCCTGAAATCATCTTGTTTATTTGATCATTACTTGTTTTTTTAGTTCCCCTTGCCCAATATCATCTCAAAAAAGTTCCTTCTCCGTCTTCTTCAGTATAGTAACTCCAAGTCTTAAAACCCACATTAGGCTGGGTGCGGTGGCACAAGCCTGTAATCCCAGCACTTTGGGAGGCCGAGGCGGGCGGATGACAAGGTCAGGAGATCGAGACCAGCCTGGCCAACATGGCGAAACCTCATCTCTACTAAGGAAATGCAAAATTAGCTGGGTGTGGTGGCGCCGCCTGTATTAACTACTCGGAAGGCTTAGGCAGGAGAATCGCTTGAACCCAGAAGGCGGAGGTTGCAGTGAGCCGAGATTGCGCCATTTGCACTCCAGCCTGGGTGACAGAGCAAGACTCTGTCTCAAGCAAAACAAAAAAAACTTGAGTAGCACATGGAAGTTACTTGAGGATGGAGTTCCAGAAAAACTAAGTGAACACAAAAAGGAAGACGCATGGTCTCTGGAGAACAGTATTTCCTAGCCTGGGAGGCAGCAAAGGGAACTCCCATTATAATAGCCGTGCAGCTCCCGGCCTAGGAGGAGCAGGGTGAGAATCCAAGAAGAGGTTTATGCCGAGAAGGAAAAAAACAGCCTCCATGTAATTGTAAAATTGAGATGTTAACTAATCTTGAGGATTAGAAAGCACATTATTCTCTCAGCAATAAGAAAAAGGCAAAGTCGAAACTCAGGAAAAACTAAGTTATATTTAAAAAGTCCTGGATTCAATATGAAACCATTTAATATGTGGCACAATTCAGTATAAGGAGAAAATCAGTTTGATCTCCCTGCAAAGATCGTTCTTCTTCGAGTAACCAGGGATCACCAGAAGCAGAGGCCAGTAGAACAGAAAGTGCCATCCCAGCACACTGTTTGGCCTTGAGGAAAATAGGATGCATCTAATAACAACTAAAGCATATTTGTTTTTGTTGACTTAATATATTCTGGAGATAACATTTTATTGAGTGCCTATGTATAAGCAAGGTTTGAAGAGTTTTCGTTTAGGAATATTTAATCCTCTGAGCATGGTAGGCTGCATGGCATCATGACCATATTTTACAGATGAGGAACATCAGGTGTGAGATACTCAACAAGTTTTCTGAGGTCTTAGCAGAAGAGCTAGATTCGCACCCTGACTTCTAACACCAGGTCTGGGTCTCGTGGCTTGGGCATGAGTCTAGCAGAGGGCTAGAAGGTACATCACGCGGCTTGAGACCCAGAGTAACCCTAAACGATCCAGGCCATTTATTTTAAGTCTTAGTCCTTCTTGCCAAGAGGCAAAGGATACCTATGCCCAGCGCAGACGCACACACTCCTGGGAGCCAGGATGCAAAGCCACAGAGCACCAGGCGGGTCAGGCTGGGATGCGAGCGGCAAGGGCCAGAGCAGGGTCTTACCTTCCTGCAGTCTTTGCAGAACACAGGCGAGCTGCCCAGGAAACCCAGCACCTCCCCACAAAGCAGGCATAGGACAGGCCATTTCCCCATCACGTTCCGCCTCATGGTCTCCAGCGGCTCCTGCCGCCCGCCTGCAGCACAGGACACAGTGTCAGAGAACCTGCTTCCTGCCTGGCGTGGCATCACGAGAGCCCAAAACCTTACCGCGCCGCCATGTGCTGTCCCCACCCGGGAGGGTTGTTCTCGCACTTCCCCTGGCTCACTCTGAATCCTTGATTCACCCCAACTATTCACTGAGCACGGAGTCATCGAACCCACGGGGAATATAAGTAGCAAACACGCGAGAACAGACATAGTCCCTGCTCTCATGGAACTTACCTTCAATAAGGAAGGAAATTCATAAGCAAGAAAACAAGCAAACTGATTTCAGATAGGAGACGAAATGGAGATAGTGGGGGAGGAAAGGATTGCAGGGAGGAGCAGAAGATGAGGAGGGAGGGGCGAGGAGACTGAGGAGACTGAGGAGAGACTGAGGGTGGGAGGCTGAGGAGAGACTGAGAGGAGACTGAGGGGAGGAGGAGGTGAGGGAGGAGACTAGGAGGGAGGGAGGGAGACTGAGGAGGAGACTGAGGGAGGAGACTGAGGAGAGATTGAGAGAGGAGACTGAGGGGGTGGGAAGACTGAGGAGGAGACTGAGAGGAGACTGAGGAGGAGACTGAGGAGGAGACTGAGAGGAGGAGACTGAGGGGAGGAGGAGGGAGACTGAGGGGAGACTGAGGGGAGGAGACTGAGGGAGAGACTGAGGGAGGGAGGAGGAGATTGAGGGGAGAGACTGAGGAGAGACTGAGGAGGGAGACTGAGGAGACTGAGGGTGGGAGACTGGGGAGAGACTGAGGAGGAGGAGACTTGGGGAGGGAGACTGAGGAGGAGACTGAGGGGAGGAGACTGAGGAGGAGACTGAGGGTAGAGACTGAGGGAGGAGCAGGAGAGACTGAGGGGGAGGAGAGAGACTGAGGAGAGGAGACTGAGGGGAGGAGACTGAGGAGGAGACTGAGGGGAGGGAGACTGAGGGAGGGAGGTGGGGGAGAGGGGAGGGCAGGGGCGAGGAGACTGAGGAGGAGACTGAGGGGAGAGAGACTGAGGAGAGACTGAGGGGAGGGAGACTGAGGAGGAGGAGGAGATTGAGGAGGGAGACTGAGGAGGGGCAGGGGTGGGAGACTGAGGGAGGAGACTGGGGAGAGGGAGGAGAGACTGAGGGTGGGAGACTGAGGGAGGGGAGACTGAGGGGGAGGGAGACTGAGGAGGAGGAGACTGAGGAGAGACTGAGGAGAGACTGAGGGGAGGGAGGGAGGAGATTGAGGAGACTGAGGGAGGGAGACTGAGGAGGGAGACTGAGGAGGAGACGAGGGGAGGGAGACTGAGAGAGGAGACTGAGGAGGAGACTGAGGAGAGACTGAGGGAGGAGACTGAGGGAGGAGACTGAGGGAGGAGGGAGACTGAGGAGGAGGGAGGAGCAGGGCGAGGGAGACTGGGGAGGAGACTGAGGGGAGGAGACTGAGGGAGGGAGGAGAGGAGACTGAGGAGAGACTGAGAGGAGGGCAGGAGAGGAGACTGAGGGGAGGAGACTGAGGGAGGGAGGGGAGGGGGTGGGGGGAGGAGACTGAGGGGAGAGAGGGAGACTGAGGAGGAGACTGAGGGGGAGGGAGACTGAGAGGAGGAGACTGAGGGAGGAGACTGAGGAGGGAGGGAGGAGATTGAGGGAGAGGAGACTGAGGGGAGAGGAGATTGAGGAGGGCAGCTGAGGAGCTGAGGAGGAGACTGAGGGAGAGAGATTGAGGAGGAGACTGAGGAGTGGAGACTGAGGAGAGAGACTGAGAGGAGACGAGGAGGAGACTGAGAGGAGAGGGGAGACTGAGGAGGAGACTGAGGAGGAGATTGAGGGAGAGGAGACTGAGGAGAGGGAGACTGAGGGAGGAGACTGAGAGGAGGGAGATTGAGGGAGGGACTGAGGAGGGTGGGGGAGGGAGGGCAGGGCGGGGCTGAGGGGAGGAGACTGAGGGGAGGGACCAGGAGAGACTTGAGGAGGGAGGAGGGAGACTGAGGAGGAGGAGGGAGACTGAGGAGGGAGACTGAGGGAGAGGGGAGCTGAGGAGGAGACCCAGGGGAGAGGAGGCGAGGAGACTGAGGACAGTGGCATGTTCTGTAGGGACCAACGATGGCTCTCGGAGAACAGGTGGACTCACAGCTTGGAGAATAAGCCACACCATCACTGTTTTCCCTGCCCAAAGACAGGAAGGCCGGTTCGGTGGCTCACGCGCCTGAAATCCCAGCCTGCCCTGTGAGGCTGAGGCAGAGGCGGATCACTTGAGCCCAGGAGTTCAGATGGCCTGGGTAACCGCCGTGAGACCAGTCTCTGCAAAAAAAAAAAAAAAAAAAAAAAAAAAAAAAAAAAAAAAAAAAAGCTGGGTGCGGTGGTGCCCTGGTACCCACCCACGGTTCTAGCTACTTAAGGCTGTGGTTGGGGGATGGCTTGAGCCCAGGAAGTTGAGGCTGCAGCGATCCGTGATCACACCCCTGCACTCCAATCTACACGACAGAGTGAGACCCTGTCTCAAAAAAGAAAGAAAGAAAGAAAGAGAGAAAGAGAGAAAGAGAGAGAGAAAAAGAAAAGATGAAAGATATGTAGGAGGCCAGCAGAATGAAATCAATTCCTGCCCAGTGCATTTGTGTTTTCCTACTTGTGCTTTTCTGTGTTTTTCAGATTTTCTAGGAAATACGAATTTCTTTTGTAATTAAACAAACACAGGACACAATGAAAGTGCTGGAAGACTGAGCTGTGGTGGGTGCTGGAGTGGGAGGCCAGGAGAGGCTCCTGCGGGAGCTTTCGAGGGCGACCCAAACCCTCCCTTGGCTGAACCACAGCTGACCGGCAGGTGCGCAGAGCCGCAGGTGCACAGAGCCGAACAGCCCCTGGGGCGCTTCACCACGCTCATTCGCGCCCACAGCCGGGGCGCACACCTCAGCTGCTAGCGCCGTCTGACAGAGGCCGATCTCGAGGCCTCAGCAGGCTGAGTTACACTCCGGGGTATTGAGGCAGAGCCAGTGACCTCCTGACCCCTCCCAGAGGTGAAATGCAGCACCAGGACCCAGCGTGCCGGCCTCCCAGTCCCCTGGGCTTGCACCAAAGCCCTTGCCGTCCTCCCACTGAGCTGGCTCCAGCCCCGCCTCACCCAATTCTCTGCTGCTCCAGGACGTCCAGCCGCTCGGCCCTCTGGATGACCTGCAGGATGGCCTCCACCTCCGCCGGGCTGAGGTGCTGGTTCCTTCTCTGCTTCTCCGTCTGGTAGGTGTGCACGGACCAGCCCGTCTGCAGCCTCGAGAGGGTGTAACACAGACGGCGTTGAGGCCTCCCCGGTGCAAACTCCCGCAGCCCCTACCACATCCACCAAGCCCTCCTGAGAACTGTCAGTGGACAGCCCAGGTGCTACGTGCCGGGGGCGAGGAGTGATCTCCCTCCCCTCAGCCTCCCTCCCCTCAGCCTCCCTCGCCTCAGTCTCCCTCCCCTCAGCGGGCAACAGAGACGGGGCAGACAAAGGCTCCAGGCACCAGCCCTGCCATCCGCCGGCTCCCGGGCCTTGGCAAAGACGGCAGCACCATCTCAGCCCAGGAGGCAGAAACACGGACTATGACCCTCAGGTACACACAGAAGGCCAAGGTCACGGCACATGAGGGTCAAGGGAGGAGCAGGAGAGATTACCAAGAGAAGAAAAAGGGAGCTCCCAGCTCCGCCAGGTAGTGAGACGGAGTTTACCTGGGGACAGGAAAGGAAGGTAATTAGGGTAAAGTCACAGCTGTTGATATGAACACCCTGAAAACTGGCAGGTTCAAGGCAGGAGGGGAAAGCGAGTTTCGCCAGATGGGCTATGGCGAGGGCAGGCAACGGTGAGGCAGGGCTGCGAGTGGGTCCGGAGGCTGAGCTGCCTGCTCCACTGGGCTGCAGGGGTGGTGCCTCCTGAGGCTGTAACTGGGGCGGGGGAAGGACTCAAACTCCTTCTATTTTTCTGGGCAGGGAGAGAGCGGCAGCAGCAGATCAAACCGCAAAGCCCCTGCCCTGGGTGGGCGCCAGCTTCCTGGAGACACTCCGTGCCTGTGACATTGCTGTGTGCAGAGATGAATGAGATGGGAAAAGCCTCTGCACCCTGAAGAACTGCAATATGGTGGGGGAGGCAGATGCCAAACCAATGACACAGAGACCTATTTAACGAACAGGTGTGAGGTGTTTTCATTCAACGCATTATAAAGCACCAGCTGGGACGCCGGCCTCTTGGGCGCAGGGACACGCTGCTTGGTGGGACGTGCAGGTGGCGGCAGGAAGTGGACAAACAAGAGAGTTACCCGGCAGGGAGGGGAGGGGAAGGGAGGGGAGGGGCTCTGGAAAGGCTGCTTCTTTCTTTCTTCAGGGAAGTGTCAGGAGAGTCCTGGAGGCAGGACCTAGGGCAGCGAGGGAGGCGCACCCTCTCCTGGGGTCTCCCTGACACAGGATGGGCCCTGGTGGTCTCATGTCTTGCGTGGTCCTGGCTGTTGCAGCGAGGTGGGCCCAGACCCTCCATCACCCCAAGAGGCAGGCCTGGACCCTCACAGTCACCCCACAAGGCAGGCCTGGACCCTCAGTCACCCTGCAAGGCAGGCCCAGACCCTGAGTTGCCCTGTAAGGCCCCGGCCCTCAGCCACCCCGCGGGGCAGGCCTCCCGTTTCTCGGAGGAGATGAGGGTGGAAGGTAGCTGACTAGCAGGGATCTGGGGTTGGCCACCTCCACTGCTGACTCAAGGCCTGAGCCCCGACCTGCGGAGTTCACACGCAGCAGCTGCTGACAGTCCTGCCTGGGAGCGTTTCGGGCTCCCCCAGGGCCTCCTCTGCGCCCCGGTTCCTGCCTCCATCCGCTCCGCCTCCTGGCCCCAGCCATCCACGTCCTCTCATCTGACCTGCTGCTCCGGGCCCTGACTCCCGCCTACGGCCACAGCTCCACTGAGCGTGCTGCCCACCCCCCTCGCAATGCCCCTTCCACACGGCCGGAGGAGGAGGAGGCCAACTTGAGGGCACCTGACATCGATGGGCAGCAACCTCCAGGAAGAACCCACACGTCTGGGAGCCCCGCCTGTCGTTCCCCCGCATGTTCCCCGCACGGCGCCCTCGTCTCTCGGCTCACCTGGCCTCTCCAGTTGCTCCCTCATGTTCTAGGCTGTGTGCAGTCCCAGGCCTTTGCTCATGCTGCACCCTTCACCTGGGGCACCTGTCTCTCTCCCTAAACCCTCTGTCCACCTCTCACTCCTATTCTATCTGTCTGTCTATCATCTATCTCTCTGTCTGTCTGTCTATCTATCATCTATCTGTCTATCTGTCTGTCATCTATCTGTCTATCTATCTACTTCTCCATCCATCTGTCTATCTATCTATCTATCTATCCATCCATCCATCTATCTTGAGACGGAGCTTCAGTCTGTCCCCCAGGCTGGAGTGCAACGGCACAATCTCAGCTCACTGCAACCCCCACCTCCCGGGTACAAGCGATTCTCCTGCCTCAGCCTCCCAAGTAGCTGGGATTACCGGCACCCACCACCACGCCTGACTAATTTTTGTATTTTTAGGAGAGAGGATTTCACCATGTTGGTCAGGCTGGTCTCGAGAACTCCTGGCTTCAGGTGATCCACCCGCCTCAGCCTCCCGAAGTCCTGGGATTACAGGTGTGAGCCACCGTGCCCAGACTATTCTTTTTAAAGACTTCTTTTCTTTACACACGACCTTCACCTGGAGGCTTTTCCTTGATCCCCTCCAAATCAGGTAAAAAATCCACTCTCAGAGTTCCTGGAAGGCCTGGGTGTATGTCCTTCACTGGGCTGATACATTATTAGGAGACAACATGAAACCCTCCATCTCCCCTCCAGAACGTGAGTCTCTGGAGGACCAGGCCCTGCCCCTGGCCCCTGCCTATCTCTCCATCTTCCTTCCACACTGTCCACCCTTCACACTGTGCACTCGCAACACACTGACCTCTGGCCAGGGCTCCACTTGCCGTGTTCCTTCTACCTCGGGGCCTTCGCACGTGCTGTTCCCTCTGTCTGGAAGCGCGTCCCTCCCACTGCCATCTAACGTTGCCCCATCGTCTGGGTCTCAGTGGAGGCCGCACACTCTCAGGGAAGCCCCTCCTGATCTCCAGAGTAGGCTACACCTTCACCCACGTCCCCACTGCCTGTTGTCACCATCAAAGCAACTTACCTATTCAAATAATGCCCGCCTCTGCCCACCTGTGCTTTAAGACCAGGGACCGTGTTGGTCCTGTTCACTGCTGTGCAGTCAGTGCCTGGCATGTAGCAGGGGGTTAGAAAATGTGTGGTGGTGGCTGAAGGACTGAGGAGAGCCCCGAGCTGCAGCCCCGACGTCCCTGAGGGTCCCACAGGGCACGGCTCCCGGCTCTGCGGGTGGAAATCAGTATGCCTCTCCTTTCCGGAGACCGTGCCAGGCTCGAGAAGGCAGCACCCCAGGGGAGGGGATAAAAGCATTCTCTCTTCTAAAGGTGCTATGGCAGCTTTTGGCTGCTGCTCAGCGAGAGACAAGGTCAGGGAGCACCGAAGGGAACCCTGGAGGGTCACGAGTCCTGCTGGGCCGTGTCTAGAGCACAGTGGCAGTGCTCTCCTTGGAAACTCCTACCCTGCCTGGGAGGACACTTCATCTGCCGGCATCCGAGGACAGGGAGGGAGAGGGACTGACCTCACCCACTGTGGGGGCCGCATGAAGGAGCTGAGCCCTCCCAGCGAAGCAGAGAAGTTAACTGTGGTGCCAAGATTCCTGCAAATCACGCAGGACTCCACTCTTCTCGGGCGTTTCAAATTAGTTTTTCTACTCCCCTTTGATGTTTCCGTTCTGTCCCCTGCAGGTTCGTAACATCTAATTGCAAAGTGTTTGAATTTGGTCCCATTTGGGAAATGCTGGCTCCCGTGATCGGCATGGGTTGAAGGACGAAGGGGCCCGTTTGGACTTATCAGACGTCAGAGACCCCCAGCCCCTCGGAGGGACAGGGAGGGGCTGGAAGGCAGCCGAGGCACCTGAGACCCCCATCTGCAGCCACAGTGGACAGTCGGTGGAGATGGCCTGACCTACCCAGAGCTGAGAGCTCACTAGGCTGAGGGATAGCAGGAAAACCAGGGCCGGGCACGGTGGCTCATGTCTGTAATCCCAGCACTTTGGGAGACCAAGGTGGGCAGATCACTTGAGGTCAGGAGTTCGAGACCAGCCTGGCCAACATGGTGAAACCCCCGTCTCTACCAAAAATACAAAAATTAGCCCATCGTGGTGGCAGATGCCTGTAATCACAGCTACTCGGGAGGCAGGAGAATCGCTTGAACCCAGGAGGCAGAGGCTACAGTGAGCTGAGATCGCGCCACTGCACTTCAGCCTGGGTGACACAGTGAGACTCAGTCTTAAAAAAAAAAAAAAGGAAAACCAGGACCCCCAAGGGAAGAAACTGGAAGTGAGGAACTAGTGAGGTTCTCAGGAGAGCGCGGAGAAGGCCCTGGGACAGCTCTGGGCTGGTCGCGCTTCGGCCTGAGGAGCAGCTCTTCGTCCATTCGACAGACCTTTGTTCCCCCGTCTCATGGTGCCAGGCACTCGGCTATGACTGGGCATCCAGGGATCAAAGGCTCCCTGTCTTAAGGGACTTGCAGTCCTACGGCTCAGTGACAAGAGCGAAGGCACGTGAGGTGGGGTGGGTCCCTGCAGCCTTTTGTGATACAAAGGACACAGGCTTAGGAGTGGGCTGGACCCAGGTGCGGGTCACAGCCCTGCCACCCACAAGTTAAGTGACGTGGGCAATGAGCTCAGCCTCACTTTTCTCATCTGGGAAATGGGGATAAATTCTGCATGGTAATTGAATGAGTGAATGGCTGTGTCCAGGGCCCGGAGTGTGGTGTGCATCCGACAGGCACTTCTCTCCAAACACCTCTTTCAGGGCTCCTGGGAATGAATCTTGCTAAAGACAGGAGAGGAGCAGGGAGGCAGAAGAAAGCGAAGGCCTGGGGGGCCCCAGAGGTACTCACTTGGCTCGAAGGGCAAGCTGCCGGTCATTGGGGCAAACCCACTGGTCATTCCCGCTGCCGAAGATGGTGTCGGCCATGGCTCGGAGCACCCGGCTGGGGGAGGGGAGTCACATCTGAGATGAAGGAGGGAAGAAGAAAGTGCATCACTGGCTGGGGTACAGACAGCAGACAGGGTCTCTATGCACTCAGCCCCTCCACCCCACCTCCATGCACCGTCCCCACGGATGCCTGTCCCCACGGATGCCTGGCCCCACCTCCATGCACCGTCCCCACGGATGTCTGTCCCCACGGATGCCTGGCCCCACGGATGTCTGTCCCCACGGATGCCTGGCCCCACGGATGCCTGGAATCTCACTGTGGGAACCGTCTCTCCCGCAAAACACTGTCCCCCAAGACTCCTCTTCAGAAGGCTCATGATTCCGGGAGGGGGACCAGGTGGATCATGTGGCCGAGTGCCAAGAGTGAACGTGACTGGCATCAAAGGGTTAGAGTCAGAAAGCAGAGGGCAGGCACACCCTTGGAAATTTTCAACCCAGCCCAGGAGGCCATCTGTTCCCTGCCCCCTCCCAGAACAGCAGGGGCCAAACTGAGCACATCACCCAGCAGGAGGGGCCGGGCTGGGGGGTGATGGCCAGACAGGCTGAAACCCTACACCTCTCCCAAGCCTGGGGACCTGGCTCTCCTTCCCAACAGATTCACACCGATGGTCACAATGCCCTCGAGGGGAGGCAAGAGGGCAGGGGGTGGCAGCTACAGCCAGGATCGCCACCCGGCACCGTGCCAAGGGGTGCCGCCCATAGACACTGCCATGAGCATGGCATCTGGGGATCCCGCAGGGAGGTGACCCTGCTCCAGGACCCCCGATGGGTCATCTGTGCACTGTCTAGTGTAGCCGGCTTTCTCCTTGCCTCCAAGGACAGGATTATCTTTGGTGATCTATCATGAGGATGCCATGCGTGCATTCTGAAGGGAGAGTGGGATGAGGCTGAGGGTATCTCAACCCCAGAGCAAGAATGAGGGGCTCTCCTGAGTCATCCACACTCCCCTGGTCGAATTCCAGCTGGGCCAGCGGTTCTCAAACCCAGGACCCCTTTACACTCTTAAAAAATATCCAGGTTTGAAATTCGTTTGGCACTTCCTCAAAATGTTAAATACGGATTTACCATATGACCCAGAAACTCTGCTCCTGGTTACAGACCCAAGACATGTCCTCACCGAAACCTGTACACAAATGTTCTCAGCAGCATTATTCACAACAGACAAAAAGTAGAAACAACCAAAATATCCACCAACCGATGAATGAGGAAAAGGTGCTATTTCCATACAATGGGTTATTTACAATGGATTATTATTTGGCCACAAAAAGGAATGAGGTGCTAACACCAGCTAAATCATGGACGAACCTTTAAAACATCCTAAGTAAGAAAAGTCAGTCGTAAAAGACCACATACTGTATGATTCCGTTTATATGATGCGCCCAGAAGAAGCGAACCTGAGAGGGAAGGTGATGAGTGGTTATCGGGGCTGCAGGAAAAGGGAACAGAATCCCAGTGGGTTCAGGACTTCTTTTTGGGGTGATAAAAATGTTCCGGAATTAGACAGTGGTGATGGTTACACAATTTTGTGAATATACTAAAACCACAGAATTGCATCCTTTAAAAGTGTGAATTTTATGGTCTATGAATTACAACTTCAGCACCAACACAGACCACGAAAAAAATGAATTATAACCCATTCATAGGCTGGACATGGTGGCTCATACCTGTAATCCCAGCACTTCGGGAGGCTGAAGTGGGCAGGTCACCTGAGCCCAGGAGTTCGAGATCAGCCTGGGCAACATGGTGAAACCCTGTCGCAACAAAAAGAACAAAAATTAGCTGGGCGTGGTGCATGCCTGTGGTCCCAGCTACGCCAGAAGCTAAGCGGGAGATCGTCTGAGCCCAGAAGGTCGAGGCCGCAGGGAGCCACAACTGCGCCACTGCACTCCAGCCTGGGTGCCAGAGCAAGACTCTCTCTCTCAAAACAACAACAAAATGCTATAAAAAATTCTTGAGGTCGGATGTGGTGGCTCAGGCCCGTAATCCCAGCAATTTGGGAGGCCAAGGCGGGAGGATTGCTTGAGGTCAGGAGATCAAGACCAGCCAGGCCAATGTGGTGAAACTCTGTCTCTATTAAAAATACAAAAAAAAATTAGCCAGGCATGATGGCACATGCCTGTAATCCCAGCTACTCAGGAGGCTGAGGCAGGAGAATCGCTTGAACCCAGGAGGTGGAGGTTGCAGTGAGCCGAGATCATGCCATTGCACTCCAGCCTAGACAACAAGAGCGAGACTCCGTCTCCAAAAAAAAAAAACAAAAAGACATTATTAAGGACTCCAAAATACATGGGCTATGACCATTGCTAGTTACCAGAAATTAAAACTAAGAAAATCTTTAAAATTTTATTAATTCATTAAAAATAATAAACCCATTACAAGAAAAAAACAAACATCCCCATCAAAAAGTGGGCAAAGGATATGAACAGACATTTCTCAAAAGAAGACATTTATGCAGCCAACAGACACATGAAAAAATGCTCACATCACTGGTCATTAGAGAAATGCAAATCAAAACCACAATGAGATACCATCTCACACCAGTTAGAATGGCAGTCACTAAAAAGTCAGGAAACAACAGGTGCTGGAGAGGATGTGGAGAAATAGGAACACTTTTACACTGCTGGTGGGATTGTAAACTAGTTCAACCATTGTGGAAAACAGTGTGGCGATTCCTCAAGGATCTAGAACTAGAAATACCATTTGACCCAGCCATCCCATTACTGGGTATATACCCAAAGGATTATAAATCATGCTACTATAAAGACACATGCACACGTATGTTTATTGCAGCACTATTCACAATAGCAAAGACTTGGAACCAACCCAAATGTCCATCAGTGACAGACTGGATTAAGAAAATGTGGCACATATACACCATGGAATACTATGCAGCCATAAAAAAGGATGAGTTTGTGTCCTTTGTAGGGACATGGATGCAGCTGGAAACCATCATTCTCAGCAAAGTATCCCAAGAACAGAAAACCAAACACGGCATGTTCTCACTCATAGGTGGGAACTGAACAATGAGATCACTTGGACACAGGAAGCGGAACATCACACACCGGGTCCTATTGTGGGGAGGGGGGAGTGGGGAGGGATAGCATCAGGAGATATACCTAATGTAAATGACGAGTTACTGGGTGCAGCACACCAACATGGCACATGTATACATACGTAACAAACCTGCACGTTGTGCACATGTACCCTACAACTTAAAGTGTAACAAAAAAAAATAATAAACCCTTTAGATGTTCACATGATTTACATATTTTACGAAAAACTACACTTAAAAAGCAATTAGACAAATACATTGTTTTACATTTTTACAACTGTTTTTAATGTTTGGCTTCACAAAAAAAAAACCAGCGGGACATTCATATCTGATTCTTCACTCACACATTTGTGACAGGTGGTTTCGCTGAAGTCCATGAAGGGCATCCAGACCCTCACAAATGTGTGTGACGGCTGAAAAGAGGAGGACTGGTTTTCACTTTCCAGAAATTGTAAATACTGTTCTTTGACATTGCACCCAAACTCACCAAATGGTAGTTTCTTAAAGATTAGTTTCAACGTGGCATCTGAAACCACATCTATGAACTTCTCCTTTCTTGTACATTTGTGAGAGGATAAAACCCGGTCCCATTACTCTTCTTACGAACACACTTCTGACCCTGTGGATCTCTGGAAGGCAGTTGGGGGACCCAGAGAGGCCTGGGCCCAGCTCGGAGAACTGCTTTTCTAGGCCGGGGCCACCCGTTTCCCTGAGGACGCGCCGACCGCCACCACCTGACCACACGGGTCCAGGCCACGACCTCAACCACACTGGTCCCTCTACCCCAGGGACACGTCCAGGCATCTGCTCTTCCAGATCAGACCTGACCCTCCCCAGTGGGCTGCCTCAGCAAAGAGACCTGGGCAGCCCCAGACCCCAAATAGCCAAATGTGGAAACCCCATGGCCAGGCCCAGGTCACCCGGGACCCCCCAGATGTAGGCTCCATCTTCTCCCCGATGAGGCTAACAGACAAGCAAGGAAAGGCAGGGTCAAAAGTGACACAGTCCTCAGACAACTTTAAACCAGTGCCCCATCCCAGCCTTTAGAGCACTACGGTTTGCTTTGCTTTATTTTCTAAAAACTTCAGTTATCTTGTACTTTGCAGCCACACCACCCCACACGGGTGTGGAAAGCACTATTCTGTTCAGAGTAAACATTTAAATACACTTTACAGGCTGAATGTGGTGGCTACGCCTGGTATCCCAGCACTTTGGGAGGCCAAGGTGGGCAGGTCACCTGAGCTCAGGAGTTTGAGACCAGCCTGGGCAATGTGGAGAAACCCCATCTCCACTAAAAATACAAAAATCAGCCAGGCGTGGTGGCGGGCGCCTGTAATCCCAGTTATTCAGGAGGCTGAGGCAGGAGAATCGCTTGAACCGGGAAGGTGGAGGTTGCAGTGAGCTGAGACTGCGCCACTGCATTCCAGCCTGGGCAACAAAGCGAGACTCCATCTCAAAAAAAAAAAAAAAGAGATCTGTGAAAATTTGGCTTTTATGTAAACTTACTAGAAGTCCAGGAACAAGTCAACTGTCTTCCCGAGCCTCAGTTTCCTCGTCGGTACCCAACAGAGCTGTCGGCCAGACAGAGCGACCGCCTCGGGTAATTTCAACGCCTGATTCTGACCCTGCTGAGTTACACAAGGGAGGCGAGGGAGACGAGGGAGTCGAGGGAGGCTGCTCCACGTGGGAGGTGGGAACGGAGCCCCTCCCCAGCCCAGTCCACAGGACAGAGGCGGCCACAACAACTGTATCCTCCATGTCCCCACCCTTCTCACTGCTGTAGCTTCAGGGCAAAGGAACCACAGAGCCAAGCGCTGCAGAGGTCAAGGGAGACGGAAGGATGTCGCCTCCAGGGCTGGGGCCACGGACAGTGGCAGGGCAGGTTCATCGTCGATGGCAAGTCTGTGGCTGACCACGCTCACAGAGGTGGCCCCGAGCAAAGGTCGGACATGAGAACCCAGGA